GAAAAAACTCATAAAATATGTATGTGGGGTAATCAGGTTGTTAGTTTTTAACTGTTGCAAATCGGCCTCGAGAGGGTTAAATCCAGAAAGTTAATTTAATTTCAGAACAAAAGATTTATGGCTTTTCAGAAGCATTTCAAATCCTATATTTCTGATGAGGTGCTAACTCCCCAATAAATGGCTGATGAGCCTTTACAGTGTAAAAAAACACCCCAAAGCTTCAACGAGATTAATGATAAAAAAAGAAAATATCGGGACATGGATATGAAACCCATTTGTTCTCATATTCATACCCAGCTCTTTTTGCTTTTATGCTTGTCAAACTTTAGTGAGTATTTCTTAAAAAAAAAGAAAAGTATAATGTTGTCAGAACCCTCGAAAGAAAATGACTTATGACTTGTGAAAAATACATTTATTTAAAAAGGAAAATGTGAAAGATCAGCTCATCAGTAATGTGTGTGGATCTGTGATCAGTGCAAAAATAAATAAATAAAAAATCAAAGCATAAAGTAAACCAAACGACTTGGAATGAATGCAATGGAGACCGATTGCAAAGGTCCTCAGTTGAACAATTAACCCAGGTGACAAACATCACTCTAAATAAGCCACACCTCTAATCCAGGTAGCCACCACAACCTGTGAGTGGATACAGAAGCCCCATCACATCGATGTTAAATGATGTTAACATGTTTTCCCTTCTTTCAAGAGGTTTCTGAGAACTTTGGAGATTATTAAAAGTCACATTAAGCAGTGACAGCTGTGCAGTTATAACACACGAATTACTACTTAATATCTCAGATTACTCTGCTCTTATGATATGCAGAGACCAATGCTTTCAATACAGCTCTGTGGTTGCGTTTCAGAGAGGTGTGGGCTAAAGTGTCTGAAAATAACCAACTTTGTGGGGGACATCAGAAGAGCGAAGACTCACACCGCTAGCTCACCTCTACCCAAGGCTGTATAGGACTAAAATAGCAAGTATTCTGCACATGTAGAGCATCATTTAACCTTTAATAGGTTCTTCAAAGTGTTTCGGAGGAACGCACATGCAGCCAACTCTGCGATTAGCGAACACATGGGTCTCGGCCACCCACTTGTTGGCTCTAAGCACAGCAATTTCCTGTTGATGCTCTTATTGTTTCGTAGGCTGTGTAATATGACAATGATTTACATTCATACTGGGCAATTCAGCATCTCTTGTACTGAAGTTTAATTCCAGTGTGCAAACCCTGTGGCTACGATAATGAACCCAAACAGATTAACTCTATTCAATTCAGAACAATTTAATTTTAAATACGCGATTTTAAATCATATGTCTCTCGAATGAGGTCAGCGCTTTAAAACTAAGAGAAACCAAACAAGTCTCCAGTGAACATGGACTCAGAATTAAAACTGTCCTTTATTTGTGGAGTTTCTTTTTAGAGATTTCTAGCTTATGTTTTGCTTTTCCCAGCGGCCTCACTGGCTGCTTAGATTCACTTACAACTGGGGTGTCAAATATAAGGCCCAAGCAGGCTGAAATTACTCAAATCTGGCCCACTGGTCAGCTTTGTAAAGTCTAAAGGAGGACATACATTTCAGACATTTAAGTGTATTGTCATAGGTTTTATAGCTTTTTCTGTTAATAAAGACCTCCCCCATGGCCATTCATACTGTACCAAACTAATTAAGTAATTAATAATTAGTAAGTTATTGTAATTCCAGTGCTAAAACATTCATCTTTCCTATGAGATATGCCCTCCATACATTAAAAATAAAAAGACCAAAAATAAAAATAATAAAAATTAAATGTTGTCAAACAATAAAAACTAAACTTAAAGAAGAAAATGCACCCTGGAAACTAAACCGAATTAAAAACATATAGTCAAAGTAGAATAAAAGTAAAATCTAATTAGAAATTACAATAAACAATAAACTACAACAACACTAATTTGTGGCAACCCATAGTTTTACAGACCTGCCAGATGTTGCCGATCCTGTCTATTGACAGAATCGATCACCTGGTTGCTCTACGACGTGCTGAACCAGCAGCAGCTGACACCATCACAATCAACAAGACTCAACATGAGGAACTCTGGCTCTGTCCAGGCGGTGGGAGGGGCAGGCAGCACTGGATCTTCCAGTCTGCGTGAGGTATCACGAACAATGGCTCTCAACCCTTCGATGAATGTAGGCGCTATAAACTAGAATACATGAACTCCACAGAAGCTCCTTTTACGCTTTTCCTTATCTTTTGTCATATACCTATATACGTCTAAAATGATGGATGCTCGTGAAACATCACTGAAGATTCAAATAATGAGTTCAGCGTATGTAAAAGTAACCTTTGCACTCTAATTGCTCAGTTTCAGGCAGAATTTGCTACACTTGGCTCTGTATCAATATGGGGCATCACTTAAGCTCACTGGTGGCCCAGGTTCAAGTCTGACCTGCTGCCCTTTGCTGTGTGTCTTCTCTGCTTTGACCTCCACTTCCCTGTCTAATCTTCACTAATAAAGGCAAAAAAATTTTTAAAAAAAACATACCTAATATGGTTACTTCACTCAAAGCTCCAGCTGTGAGCACAGAAGCCCCACCCACCTGCAGTTCAAACCTTCTCTTTGCAAGAAGCAGCCAATCAGTAGAAAGCTGGCTAAAAAGAAGTAACAACAACTCCTCTAACAGAGGGGACAATGATGAGTTGGATGAAGGCCTTGAATTATATAAATAAAGAATTATATAAATTATATAAATATAAAAAAAATTGTGTCAATCATGGAATCATGCACAGCTACTCCAGTAGAATTCAGGTATAAACATGGCGCTGGAAAATATTAATAAAGGTTGCCTTTATAAATAATAAAACGTTTCATTTCCTCTATGGGGCATCCTGTTGACGTTATTAGCATCCTTAATAAAGCAGTCTGCAACACTCTGATGGCACAGATGTAATCTGAGGCCTCGAATCCAGTTTGAGTAACTGATCCAGCATCTCAAAGGTTAATGAACACCAAAGGGCTGCACAGCAGCTCCTGCTTCTTAATATTTTTTTTAATCATTCCAGCAATCATTTCATCGTTCCTCTCCCTGCCTTTGAGTTGAACAGCAGACATATGGTGATTACATTGCAAAATAATGTACCAGCCTGGCAATGATATTGTATCAAAGGCTGAGTGACTTTTAAAGCTGTGTTCACACCAATTTGAGAACAGTGCGAAAAAGTGAAGCCCTCTCATTCATTTGAATGACAACAGTCTAGCAACACAGGGAGGGTGTGAAGTTTATTGCCTGTTAAACCTCACAAATAGACAGCATAATGTTTACTATGCATAAATTACCACTTTTCACACTACGAACTCAAACCCTCAAGCTGAGATACAAGGCTGCAGATTATCAGCGTTACGAAACAAAAGAAAAATGGGACTACACTCATCATGAAATAAAACAGAAGCCCACTGTTTGCATGAGAAAGCAGTATTAGTGGCATACGGCATATTCTCACAATGCTTTAAAGTCTCAGTAGGTCGAGGTGTCCTCGTTGTAGAAGCGTCTCCTCACTTCTCCTTCACCCACACTTCTATATTTGGAGTTTGTGTCACAATGCCTGCAGTAATCTTCCAGTCAGGGAGTTGAGCTTATCTCGGTCGTGATTTCAATTAGAGGCTTTTTTTGTAAACTGTTTCTACAGTCATGTGAAAAAAATAAAAATATATTTGAACTAATAAACACCTGAATTTCTTTGAAACAGTAGTAGGTGTCAAAAATCAACAAAATGTTAGTTTTTTTTAGTCATAATGTAAAAGAGTTATTACATAGATAAGAGTGAACAAAAAAGCCTGACGTTTATCACAAATTCAAATGCAGAAAGTCTGAATCAAAGGTTCAAGAGTCTGCTAAACGTTTTTTATCAATAACCTCCAGAGAAAATGAGCTGTGGGTGTCTTCGTGGATAAATCATTCTACCAAGCGAGGTATATTTCAAATGATTGTCTAATAGCACGTAAACGGCAAGAAGAATCTACCAGAAGTGATGAGCAATCCTAAATGTCTTCATAGGTTGGGCAGGTATCTCAATCAGAGAGACTGTGCACAGATTTTATTGTCGTGGGAGGCGAGCCATTAAGAAGCCCATTATGAGAGCTGGACAAAACCTGAACTGGAAAAGTGTCAGTCTCTGATTGAACTACAAATTCTGCTTGAGCATAATGAGATTATATCTGTATCAAATTAAAGCTGAACCAGAAAGTGAACTTTCATCAGGATAATTATGATCCTAATTGCACTAAAAAAATCCACAAAGAAATACACTCGGTAGTCACTTTTATGGTGAAAAACTTGCAAAGAAAACTTACAAAAATTGTATTACTTATGCCTTGCTAGGACCAGTCAGACTCCCTTCTACCTTTACTTTTCATGCCACAGATTTAAACAAAAAAAACAGTTCAGTGGAATTTTGGTCCATCGCCACCAAAACCTGCAATCCATATTTAGAGGGCTAACTGTATCTGGCTGTTCTAGGCTGATATAAAACTTCAGCAGTGTGAAGATCATGTATTTGCCCCCAGAACCCACACACTGAAGCAGATATTGATTTCCAAAGTGTTTACTTAGCAGAGTTACACCTGCGACAGCTTGATTTAATGAAGAGTTAAACTGATTTTCAGCTGTAGATCTGTGATAAATGCACAGAGATGTTCTCCGAGCACAAATCCCATAAAGTCTCATGGTAACAAGTGTAGGTGTGGAGCTTTCTAGCAACTTTAGAAGCAAATGAAATCCTCACAGCATGCACAGACCTACAAATGAATGCAATTTCTGTTATTATAAAGAAGCTTAAAAGCTTCATAGCATGTAGGTTTGCAGCATTTGACTGACCACACCCTCAGGAATGCCACTGATAGCTAATTTTCCTCCTTATTTAGTCACCAGGATGATTAGTGTTTATTAGTTTGCTGATTGGAATGAAGCGCACGCACCGGAGTCATGTTAATACATAAATTACATCTCAGGGTGAAGAGGGGGGGGAACAAACAACCCTGCCAGCTGACTGGTATAGGAGACCTTTAATGCAGCTGCAGCTCTTCATTCAGATGCTGAGTGGAGCAGCGGACGGCTGGAGGAGGAGGGACGCTTTTCCAGGAAAACCAGACACAGCTCTATTCTAATCGCATTTTTGAAAAGCCCACTTTGATGCATAGTGAGGGAGTTTCCCTCTCTACCTGAGATATTTAGCTGGGGGAAAGCGCCGTCCTAGATGCAGACTGAGCGGATTGCGGCAATCAAAGCGTCCTGAATGATCGGAGCTCAGCAGCAGCAGCAGCAACAGCATCACATTGTATGAAATGCGTCACCGCGATCCAGTTTTCCCATTTACACACATCGGCTCGCCACTCACGGACCGCTTCCCGCACTGACTGTTTTATCAGGTAAGACTCCAGCATTTTTCCTCCTCCTGTTTAAATATAGCCTACCTGCCTGAGCTGATGCAGATTATTATACTCTGCGTAAAGATGACATTCTTATCTTAAAACGCTGCTGCGTGGAGCGCAGAAAAGGGCTTCTGTTGGGGCTAAATCTCGAAGGCCTACACATTACAATAGCTGATGTATTGTCCCGACTTCTGCTGTGTCTTATATTCAAAGCAACGTCCGAATTTAATTCATTCATTTATTTTCAACCTGACCTGGGCGTATTATCTGTTAGGAGTTGGCACATTTCATCTAACACTGGGATTCAGTGCCATCACAGTGCCATCACAGTGCCACTTGCCATCTTAATTGTCTCGGTTTGGTTTTGTTAATGTAGAATGGATCAGCTAATGGGGAAACTGGAGGGCGGGTTTCTAATGTTCTGCCTCCACTGAAGCTGATCAAGCGGGTCTCGTGTGTCTTCTTTTCGGTGCAGGTAACCACATGCGCGGGCCGGTGTCACCGCGCTGAGCCCGGAGAGCACGAAGGGTACAGGGGTCAGTGAGACTTGGAGTGGCCGGGATGACAGCCAGAACCGCCGAGGCCTCGGGGCTGTCGGTGCCGCTGCACCGCTGTCACGGGGGGTTCCAGGCCAGTAACGGCACCTGCGCGGAGCAGCTCAGCCTCTTTCCGCCGTTCTCCTCCACCCTCGCGCTTCTCGTGCTGGTGGCCGTGCTCGTGGGGATCGTCCTCGTTTCCCTGGCAACCTTCCACTTCCACAAGAGGAAGCTTCGGAATAGGAAGATCCAACGCGCGCAGGAGGAGTACGAGCGCGACAGTCGCAACCCCGCGCGCGCCGGGGCGAGCGGGGAGCCCGTGAGGCCGTGCGTCATCGTCCGACCAGTGAGATGTGAGGAGAAGCTCTCGTGTCAGAGCGCGGAGAGCGCGGAGAGCGGGGACGTGGAGGCGGAGGACAAACAGGCGCTGCACGAGACAGTTTCTCTTGACTGTTAACTTAGTGCAACTTCAGGGAACGAGACTGTGGAATAAACAGGAAAAGCAATAAGGCACAAAGAACTCCCACACCCCTCTGCTGCTTGTAGATGAATTAGGAAAAAAAATGCAGAATACTGAGCAGAATAGGCCTAGAGGTAACATTTCACGGACACACAGATTAGCTGTGATGCCACACTCCTCCCTAAAACACCACTATTTAGCCAACTCCTTTTGGGACTATGTAAAGTATTTGCCTGCTTTGACTTTTGGGCCTCCCTCTTTCCCCTTTCCCGCCCAGCCCGAAAATGTTGTTTAAACCTCAAATATGTTGAAACTTTAAATCCTCCCAGGGATGTGCACATCGTTGTGCTTAAATTATTGAGAGCTGGTGAGATAACACAGACCATAATGGCTCGCTGATCTTCCTTGGCATGTCCTCTGACACACTACCAGTATGTAGTTAGTCTATAATGGATGTTGTGGTGCTGTTAGGCAGTGCAAAGCTGCACATAGGCTATAGACAACGGCTTATTTGTTTGCTGTAGTATTTTTCCTTCAATCAAGTGACTTAGCATATTTGCATAAAGTACTGTCCTCCAATGTCTGATAGACATCTGTAGGTAGCTCTAGTTAGCCTGACAGGATGCAAAACCTTTTTGCTGTAGTTATGCACATAAGATTTTTTCTTTTTTCCTTTCAAGTGTCTTTAACGTAACTCTTTGGCGCTAATACAGTATTTTAATTTTTGAGTATTTATAATGTATTCTCTGAGATGTAATAAATTGAGAAATCTTCCAAGAGAGGCTTTCAGTTGAAGCCAGTCTTTTTTCTCTCTCTCTTTGTCTCTCCTGATCCTTAATATTGTATAATAGTGGGCCTACTAGAAATTCTGTGTCATTTATTATATGAATTCACTGTAAATGTATGCCATTATGAGAGCTGGAATGTTTGCAGTAACACCATCTTTCTGGAGTTCATTTAACCTGCCTTATCAAAGGAAAATGTGTAATATTCAAAGTTTCTAAATAAATACATGATATATATAAATACTTTATGTTAATCCCTTGAATGTGTCAGGACTACCTTTACTACTGAAGGAAATGTACAACTACACTGGAAACTGAATTGACAGGTACAATTTATCATCATGATTGCAGTACTGTATAGGTGACTGTCACGGCGGGGTGCGCCGGTGTGTTTTTTGAAACAGGACCCAAAAGCAGATGTGGACGAGGTGTTGCAGGTTTAAACAGAAGGTGATCCTTTATTTGGATGATTGCAGGGGTTAAACAAGGAACCCTAAGCAAACTAAAAACACACTAAGAAACAAATACTATGAAGGACAAGGACTATGACTATGACTATGGTGGGGATAACAGACAACCCGACAATGACATTCAGAAAACAGAGGACTTAAATAGGGGAAGTGGAGACACATGAGAAAACAGCTGACTAGGATAAACATAATGATGCACAGGCAAGAGTAAAACTAACCACATGAACACAGAACACAAGACTCTTTTCAAAATAAAACAGGAAACATGCAGACTTAGACACAACAACACAACTTAACAGGCCTAACACACATGACAGACTAGACAAGGAACCAAACATAACCACACAGACATGACGTATGAACCAGGGAGACTTAGTACAGGGGAGATGACATAACTAAGAAACAGGACTACACAGTAATCTAGAAATTAACTAGGTGAACTAAGCTAAGGCACAAATAAATACAAAAGATACATAAACTCAAACACTGGGTCGCTCGACCCAGGACCATGACAGGTGACATTATGAAAATGTTTACATTTACATTCTTACCATTGCCCAATCCTCTTGGAGTGAACAAATGACCTTCCCAAGGGTCTCTAAGAACCCATGAGCCGTGAACTACTGGTGCTGAAAGCTGTGTCTACTGAATACAAAATCACATTCACTGCATATAGGGCAATATCGTCCATACAGACCCTATCAGTCTTGCCCACAGACACACCATCCTTGAGCTCAACTTCTTTCTGCAAGCCCCATCACATCTTATTGGACATTGGTGGCCATGAGTCGGCATCAGACAGCACGTTGGCTGGGTACCAGGACACCATGTTCCTAATTGTCCCCAGCAAAAATGCTTGGGAATAAGAAGCAATCTTTGGCAAGCTGCCCCCTCTGGAACATGCACTGACAGCCCGCCCATCTATCTTATCTCATTGGCATAAGTGCAACAAAATGAAGCCATTTATCCTCACAGGAAAATTGGAAAAAGTCAGTGAAAGATGACTGATGCATCCTACATTTAAACATATGTTTACTTCACAGCAATTTATAGATTTGAAACCAGAAGGTCAAACAAATTATTGACATTTAAAATAAATACGTAATAATTAGAAGGATACGGTGCATTAAATGTTGCAATTCTATGTAGCTAGATCAGGCCACAACCTGCAGCAATCATACTCATAATTACCTTGTGCAACTCTTGCCTCTGATAAATGTGGATCTAAATTTTATTTATTTGGACGTGCAGGCATCTCTTGCCAACAAGGCAGGATGAGGAAGTACACTGACTTGGTGTCAGTAGCAGTGAAAGAATGAATGTGAGTGGGCATGGGCGGATGGAGATCAATGATAACTAGATAGTTTAAATGATTGAAGGTCAGTGTCTCAGAAGAGGTGGAGGGAAGTGGAACACAGTAGCTGGGGAGGGAAGTGGGTTCACCAGCCAGGACTCTATTGTGCCCAATGACTACAAATTAGTGGAGGTCTGTGGCTAAGTCTTTTATGATGATTAGTCCCTAAGAAGGGGAAGTCTGTGGCTGTCAGTTGTGGGCAATTCGTGGGAGTGTGTGTGTTGCAGTTGGTGTAGATTACTTGTGGGGTGCTACTACAAAAAGAATAGGGTGACTAGGCTAAGTACCCAGGTGGAAAGAAGTAGCAAAGGGTGGATAAAAGTGATTGACTAATGTAGGGAGTTCAGTATCTAAGAATGGATAGAAGGCTCTGGCTATGAATGGACAGAGAAATGGAAGGAGGTCAGCTGCTATAAAATGACGAAGTATGTAAATAAGATTGAACAGAAATGCATGGCTCAAACTGTATGAAGTACTGGAAGAGCT